ACAGTTCCACCTCCTTTCAGCATGAGGGGCACCAGGTGATCCTGGGTGGGGGAAGGGGTCCTGCAACTTTCTTATCCCTTCCAGCCACTAAAGATGCACTGCATAAGGAGCAGCGCCCGAGCCTTAGAAGGACCCTGAGCTCTCCTGAGCCACAACCTCCCAGGGACCCAAGGCATCCCACAGTTCATGGAGTTTGGGCCTGGTTCTTTCAAGCACAGAGGGAAGTGGGAGGAAAAAAGCCCCAGGCAACCACCTCCTGATACTATGCTGATTGATGTTCCTGCCATCATTACCACTACCCCACAGCAAGCTGCAACATCAAAGGAAGGAGAAGTCAGCCAAGGGGGCATACCAGTCTGGACCCAGAAAGAAACATGGCCAAGAGGGCAGTCACCGTCCCAGGATGAAGGCAGCTCCTGTGAGGGATGGTGTTGCCCTGCAGTCGGGGGCAGGACCAGGGTAACCCTGCCTTAGCCCTCTGCACTCCTGTCCTTGGCACAGTAGCTGAGACACACACTGGTCTCCAGGTCTGACTCTGGGTGTGGTAACTGAGACCATCCAGGCCTGCTGAGGTCTTGGCCACACCTTCAGGTGGGTGGCACCAGCATTGCTCACCCATTTTCTAATTAATTAACAGACCACCAATGGGGAACATCTTACCTGTAGGTTCCCCACCCAACAAGGAGGGGTCAAGGAAGGCTTAAAATCCTAAGATCCTTTCTCAAACCTTTGGTGTCTCTCTCTCCCTTCCCTTTCGAGAGGCACCCCACCTCCCGCTTCCTTTCTGGGGGTGCTTTCCCCTTCCCTCCCTTCCCTGCTCCCTTCGCAAATAAACTTTTCTCTTTGCAACAGATTCCTGGCTTTTTATTTCTATACTAAGCTGAAGAAAGAACCCACCAGACATTTCTGGTAACACAAACCACTGCGGAGCAGACTCCTCTGATTGGTGTGCCCCTGGACCAGGGATGGCAAAGCGCTGCCATGCCCCCAGCCCTGTTCCTTCAAGGCCACACGCAGAGCAGAGCAAGCTCATGGCACTGGCTTCTCTGGGGTTTCTCACCTCTACTCAAGTAGGTTTTCTCCAATTTTTAATGGGAAAGAATCTTCAGAGAGGCCACTCTGTCACCCAACCTGGTCCCATCAGTGGATATCCATTAGGTACCTGTCTTCCAACTCTCCAGGGACGGCCCATAGGGAGCCTTGGCACAGGGAGTGTGAGCCCCTCATCCTGCCCAATCCTACCTTCTCAGGCCCATGGCTGCTCTAGAAGCTGGGCTGGTGCAGACAACTGCATGTCAGCCCTGTCATCTGAGCTTACAGAGGCTGTCAGGGTAAGGCTGAGTGCTGAAGGAACAGGTAAGAAAATTAGGCTAGCCCTTCTGGTCGAACCCACTTCGCTGCCCTGCCCTGAGCTGGAAAGCCTAAAGGAAGCCAGGCAGCTGGGAGCCTCCATGAGAGGCCCCGGGGCTCCTGAGAGCACAGGAAGTCCCTGGGGCAAAGCTGGCAGGGATGGTTGGGATGACAGTCATGAAGCTGTTTGCAGCCTGACACCCAAGAGATGGGACAGGACCAAACCTCTTTCCAGGCTGTCTATGAGTGGGGCCTCATGGTGGTGGAGACACCTGTTCAGAGGTACCCAGAGCCCTTTCTTTTGACACATCCTTGACCAGGAGTCTGTTTCTGACCCTTCACCTTCTGAAGGTCACAGGGAACTTAGCTCAGGCATCTCTGGTCCCTCATGTCCCACACTCCTGCTCATGCTCCTGACATTGCAACTCCAATAAAGGACAAGAATTTAGGGTGCAGACAGTAGGGCTTGCCTCCTCACTCCCCCAAGGCCTACCTTACCTGACATTTCTGCCACCACTCACACCTGCCCCTCAAGGTGCCCAGGATACCATATTTCTCTGATCTGGCAGAACTGAGGCAACTCTCCTGTTGGGGATGTTAGATGAGAGCATCACAGGGACCAGCCTGGGGCTGGCCTGGATCCAGTGTGGGTGACTCAACCCCAGATGATTGTAGGGAGAGGCTGCTTCATCACTGCGGACAGCTTCTGGCTGTGATCAGAACAGAACAAATGGCATGTCACAAACTCCTGGAATGCCTGCTTCTGTTGTCCACCTGCTATGTGTGGAGCTGTCAGACATCGCACGGATGCACCTGAAGTAAGTTCATCTTCCCTGAGGCTTGGCCAGCATTGCATGAGAGGTGTCCCTCATCTTCCTGCAACCCAGAGGTAAGCAGGTTGTTCCTCTGGCATGCCAAAGCAGGTGCATGCCCAGAATGCAAACAATAATGGTGTTACTCTTCCAGCGCCTCCATGTATTTGTTCTCCATTGCCAAAGCTCCCCAAAGCTCATCAAGAGTTGTTATTATTATTATTATTTTACAGAGTTTACTCACTCAGAGGTCAGGGCACTTAGTTGTTCTGGTGGCTGAACTAGCTCTGGAACCAACCCAAGTCATCCCAATTGAAAAAACCCAGGTATGAGCAAAAAGGGTTCATTATGAATGACAATATAATCAGGCCTCTATACAAGTAGACTCCATATGCATGGGTTCAACCAAAAGCAGATGCCAAATAGTTTTTGAAAACATATCTGTACCACACACTGCTTTTCTTCTTACAGTTATCCCTTACGGGATTATGGGATTATCCCCTATGCAGTTGATATGGCTATGAACGACTTGCACAGCAGTGACACTGTATTATAATGAATAGTCTAGGGATGATCTAAGGTATATAAAAAACTCGTGTCAGTCCGATGAAATCTCTGTACCACTTTATATGAGAGACTGAAGCATCTTAGGACCAAGCCTCCAAGGACACCAAGGGACAGCCATATGCTCCAATCACCTTTGCCACTCAGGAAATTTTAGAGCTTTTAGAAGCGTTGTGAAAAACCCAGATATAATAAATGATGCTTCTATTGTTGCAGAGAGTTCAACACAAAACATGGCAGCAACCTCATTTCTTGTCTCACAGGAAAGAATTTTCATGCAGACAACTCTAGTTTGCAAAGCACAATTTATTATTTAAGAAGAGAGGGAAGGAAGGACTCCTGCTGTAGTGACAGGAGGGGGCTCCAAGGGAGGAAAGACCTGAGGAAATCTAAGAAAGAGACAGCTCTCCTGCCATACTGACAGGCGGGGCTCCAAGAAAGGAAAAGACCCAAAGGGATGGTGGAAATGGTGCTTCTTATACACCACCTCAGGGGAGTCTCTCAAAAGCCAAAAGAGAGGAGAGAATTCATTCACAATGGGCAGCAATGTAGCACCTTGTCCAGCACTAAAGAGTGAGACTGGAGGTTTCCTTCTGTTTGCTGCATTTTTCTCCTTAGTGCATTTTCTAAGATGTAGTACCTATAGGTCTACAAGTCAATTTTTATGTTCAATCAGTGTCCTGGGTTAGGAAGATGCCAAATGTCCCAGATTAATAATTTATCGGCAGCACTGATCTTGTCTAAACATGCAAGATGGTGCCCAGCGGATCACTGCTGGAGAGCTGGGGTTGTTGGCTTTCTGATCTGGAGACCACACAGATCCTGCAGGACGCAAAGCAGGTGCTGTCCTCCTCGTGAGGTCAGTCGGATGTGACTAGCTGGAAACATGCCCGCTCTGGCATTTGATCCCTGTACTGTTAGCTCCGACCTGCCACCAGTTGCCCTGTGGAGTCTGCAGCTCCCTTTCTGTTCATTGCTGGGCCAAAGTATTCCACAAGATCGGCCAGTCCCAGCCTGCCTTCACCCCTGAGCTCCCCGTGCAAACCCAAACTTCTCACCTGGCTGTCTCAAGGGCTGATGTGTGGCCGCCTCTGCATCCCTGGTTAATCACTGGAGACTGGATCACAGCTCACTAGTAGCTGGTAGGTTTTCTGTTCCCTGTAAAACTGTTTCACTGTCATCACCTCTTCCCTGTATCCAGTGGTTCTCCAGGTACCTCCCTGTTGACTTCAGGACCCCTATCTTTTTCTGTAATCTGCTCTCTGTTCTTTACCCTAATAATTCTCCATCATCTCAAACATGTCTGCAACCTTTCGGGTGGCTTCCTTCTTCCACTCTGATTATGATGAAAGAGGGGGAATACATATGTTGATTCTGTCCTTTGGTTTTCCTTCCAGAGGAGAAAAACTTGCTCTTGGAAGGGTAAGAAGTGGGGAGAAGCACAACTTCATATTTCAAAAGGCAACTTTACCAGGGATCAGAGACTCTCATTGCATACTGTCCCATTTGACTCCTCACTCTACAACCCATGTCCCCAAAATATGCCCATGGTTTTAGGACCTCTGTGCCAGGAAGTGGGGATGAAGATCAAATACACCTCTTTTGTCACACAATATCATGCTGCACTCACTTCCCTTGGAATTCTCTTTAGTTGGTTCTTCCTCATGTTCTCGATCTTTAAACCAGAAAGTGCTTGGAGGCCACGTCTTCAGGCCACTTGTTTTTGTCCATCTCTTGTTCTTTCCTTCTGAGATCACGATTTCAGTAATATTTATGAGAAAGATTACCATCCTTGACCTTGCTCATGAATGCCACTCACATATACACCTGCCCCTGCACCCTTCCTTGCTGGATTCCTGATTCTAGCTCATCAGGCAACCATATTTAACACAGTCATCCTTCATTTCTGATGTCTTCCTCCTCTGAGGCCCCCCTAGACCTGCCCTCCCACGGGCGACTTCCTTTCTACAGTTCTCCCTTTACAGACATCCCAGGCAGATGGCGGGAAGCCGAGAGCCGGAAGTCGCCTCGCCGCAGGGCCCTCTGGGTGTGACTTGAGGCATGCCGGGAGTTGTAGTTCGCGCGGGGCTCCGGGACGGCTCGAGAGGCCTTTCTGGGGTTCGTAGCCGAGGGTGTCCCTGGCGCGGCTGGCCCGGACAGTCTGAGGTGGAGATTCTCCCGGTGACTCTTCCCCGTCGTGGTGGGACCGGGCCTCTCGCGGTAGGTGGGGGTCGCGCGCGCGGGAGCCCGCGGGGGCCGGGGGCACCCGCGGAGAAAGACCCCTGTCAGGTGAGCTGGGGGCCCCAGGGGTGTGAGCCTGCCTGTTCTGTAAACTGTTTCGGGACGTAGCCGCGGTAAAACAACTAGCTAACCCATCGCTTGCAGGCTTACGCATTTCGTATTCGGACGACAGGTTCAGTGCACACGATTTCCCGTTTTGCAAGAATCCAAGGCCCAGGGCGGCCCAGTAATTAACTGGGACTTAGACTGGGACCTGCTCTACTACTTAATGGTTTTTGTGAGTTTAGGCAACTCATGACTCCTTGGTCTTCCCCATATCTGTAAAAATGAGGTAGTGGGGGATGGGGGAAATAGGGTGACAACACAGTCCCTTGGGGTCCGAGGAGGGTTGGCCCCAGGACCCTGAGCCCCTGAATGCATGGACCCTTAATGCGAAAGGTGTAGTGTATGCATATAGCCTTGCTGTTTATTTTAAATCATCTCCAGGTGATTTCAATTCCTGGTATGACATAAATGCTCTGTAAATGAGTCGCAGATTGCATTGTTTTCCCTGTTTAATACAGTTGGTGAGTTGAGTCCACCCAGGCCTGCTGTATTTACTTCCTTCAGGTTGTTGCATTGATTAAAGATATACATGGAAAGCGCTCAGGATTCTTGGTACCAGGTAGGTGTGTGCCATTGGCCAGCATTCATCTCTTGCACAGTAGTTACATAGAATGGCACATCTTTTGGCCGGCTGGCTGTGGTGTGCTGGTTGCAAATTTCCTAGCATGGGTAGCATGTTGTGCTCCAGGGCCAAGGTTACTGCCCCCGAGGAGCCCACTGCAGGCTGAGGTAGAGCAGACATATGTGGCCAAGTCTTTCTGACTGCTGCAAGTGGGGCTGTGGAGATTGTAAGAGACAGAATCTGTGTTTAGGAGAGGTTAATGCTAACATGATATTTATCCTGGGAAGGGACATCTTCATTACATCACCTTGGGTGAGATATGGGATGGCCAGAGGTAGATCAAGAGAGACTAGGGGAAATCTTACTGGTTGTATGGTATTCAGAGTTCCTTGGGGAACTGTGGTCCTCAAAGGACCTCTCTGGCCAGCCCAAGTAGGTCACGCAGTAGGAAGAGGGGCAAGTGTAGGAGAGTGCTGCTTCCCCAAGGAGTTCATCTTTGCTGTGACCATGCAGATGTGTCCTTTAAACCTCTCAAAGTTCTTGATTTGTCTAAGTGAGTCCCAGTGGGCTTAGAGTAGCACACAGGCCTAAGGGGGTGTTAAAGTATCAGCTTAGATAAGTTAGAAGTATGGTTAATACAGGGGTGGGAGTAGGGGGTGGGGCCTGGCCAGGTAATTTGGTCAATGTGGTTTGCATCCTTACAGGGTGGTATGGTTGGGACCTGATGAACATGGTGGGCACCTGCGGTTTCTTTCTCCAAGCCATCCCTTTGTCCCTTCCAGACCCACTTGGTCAGCACTCCACGCCTCTGCCACAGGAAAACTAAGAAGGAAGGAATGGCCGTGAACCTGCTGCCCGCTCAGGTGACAATCAATGAACTGTGTGTTGTCTCGGGTTAAGGAGGTGGGCATGTCTCCGTTCTTTCAATGGAGTACCGCCTGAAAGCCTTGTAGGCTCTCCCCGGATTCTGGGCTAAGGAATGTGCCTTTTTTGTCCCCAGTCACTCCAAAATCAATTCTTGACCTAGAGTTGAGTCAGTTCCTGCCACCATAGGTGCTTGGTGAGACTGGGGTTTGAGACAGTTTTTGTCTTCACAGAGCATAGTATCTCACTTGGGACAAAGACATGCAGGGGTCTCCAGGCCGATGTTAATAACGTTTAATGAGCATTGGTTGCATTATGGATGCCATGAGGTACTCTAGGGAGCCAGAGCAGCAGAAGGGCTTCTGTCTAACGGAAGGTCACACGATCCAGTGTGCAGGAAGACTCAGGGAAACATCCCAGCAATGGGTCAGTTTGATGCTGGTGGTGAGAAGCTGGGGGGCTCCCCTGAAGGAGCTCAGCTTGATTGGCTTTTGCACTTGGCACTGGGAGGACACAGCACTGGGGGCTTCCTCCACCTGCTGCAGCTCTCCTATTAAACCGTCCTAATGTCCCACTTACTTGGCTAATTAATGCTTTGGTCTCCTCCTCTGTTGTTTTGTTTGTTTTCCTGTTATATCACACTCTTTCCTGCAGCCCTGTGTCTTGCTCTGTGTGCTCCTGAGGACCTTGCCCATTACTTGGATGCTCATTTTCTGCAGGTTCCCCACCACCACCCCAATCTCTGATCTTTTGGCAATCCAGCCTGTCTTTTCCAGCCCTGAAGAAGTGTTCCCATGTGCCAGTCCTGTCTTCCTCTTTCCAATTGCTTTCCTGTACACTGTCTGGCAGTGATGGATTTGGTGTGCAGAGCTGATGATCAGATACATGAACTACTGACTGATGGTCAATAGCCAAAGTTTATTAACAGCATCAGACTTTTTAAAGACTGAGGGTCCCATAGACTTCTGGGAGGAGGGTTTGACACATTTACATATCAACAGTAAATGGGAGTTGACTTGCAACTACAGGAATTCCCCCACCTTTGCCAAAAGACCAAGAGAATCCATTCCTGTTATCTGAGCCTGACAATTAGCGAGTTCCTGGTCTGTGCATTTCCTTATCAAACCAGATTGCAGCTAGCCTTGGCTCCACATTGGCAAGGATTCTCAATGTCCTGTCTTTAATCAGATCAGTTCTTTTCCTGCATATCTGATCAGTTGTCCTCTTGCACAATCCCCCTTGGATTTTCCATTCTGCCACCCTCCAGAACTCTGTTTTTGGTTGACTGCTTTCCTAGAAGCCCCTTGTGGCATCCTGCGGGCTACAGATGGGGATTCTGGAGCATGAGTTCCTGGGCTTGAATCCCAGCTGGTGAAATGACTTTAGGCGTGTTTTCAGTCTCTGTGCTTCCTCAGTTTAAGGAAGGTTAGTAATATAGATCCTGCAGGGAACTGTTAAGCATTAATAAGAGTGCTAAGTACAAACCTAATTGGTATGTGCCAAATGCTATGTTACCATATATAAAAATATTCTTCTTAGATCTATATAATACTCCTGGAATCTTACCAAAGGGCTGTTAATCCCTGCATTTTACAAATGAGGACTTTGTAAAGAGTTTGTTTATTTATGTATGCATTTCTTTGAAAGGCAGAGTTACACACAGAGAGAGAAAGAGAGAGAGAGAGATCTTTCATCTCCAAACAGCTGCAATGGCCAAGGTTGGGCCAAACCAAAGCCAGCAGCTTCATTCTGGTCTTCCATGTGGTGTAAGGACCCAATCACTTGAGCTACCTTCTGCTTTCTCAGGCACATTAGTAGAGAGCTGGGTTGAAAGTGGAGCAGCCATGACTTAAACTGGTGCTCATATTGGATGCTGATGCTGCAGTGAGATGTTTAACACACTTCACCATAGTGCTGGCCCCCAGATGAGAAAATTTGAGACACAGAGAAGAAACTGACATGAGCAGGATCATACAGCTGGCTGTTGGCCAGGTAGGACAGACTATGCTGCTAGCTGCTAGCGTCAGGCTAGGAGAGAGTGTGTGTTACATGTTGAGTGCATGGTAAGTGCTGGCTCAAGCAGTATGACAAGTGGCAGTGGCAGCATTATTTCAGAATCTGTCAAGCTTGTTGTGTTTCTCCTTAATCAGTCTTTCTTCCTTTTTAAAAAAGACTTATTTATTTTTATTGCAAAGGCAGAGATATATACAGAGAGGAAGAGAGACAGTGAGGAAGATCATTTATCCAATGATTCATTCCCTAAATGGCTGCAATGGCCAGAGCTGAGCCAGTCCGAAGCCAGGAGCCAGGAGCCTCCTCCAGGTCTCCCACGTGGGTGCAGGGTCCCAAGCTTTGGGTCGTCTTTGACTGCTTTCCACCAGCAGAGAGCTGGATGGGAAGCAGGGCCACTGGGGTTAGAACCAGCTTCCATATGGGATCCTGGCGCATTCAAGGCAAGGACTTTAGCAGCTAGGCCACCACGCTGGGCTCTCACCTATGTTTATTTTCTTTACATTGATTTTATTTAATTGAAAGGCAGAGTTATAGAAAGAGGGAGAGCTAGAAAAAAAAATTGTATCTATTGGTTCATTTCCCAAATGGCTGCAGCAGCCAGGGATGGTTGATAAAGTCAGGAGCCTAGAACTCTATCTTGGTCCACCATATGGGTGGCAAGGACCATCTTCTGATTTTTTGACTGTTTCTGGTAGTATTTGAGCCATCTTCCGATTTGTGCAGGTGGCAGCTTCACCCGCTGTGTCACTATGCCAGCCCCCAGATTTGTCTTTGGTACTTTGATTTTAAAGAGAGATGTTTCAGGAAGTCAAGGTAGACCTCCAAAATACAGTGCAAAGCCAAACTCAGCTTTGACCTGGGCTACCCTCTGCCTGAAGTTCTAACTCTTCACTTTTCTGCAGCTTCCTCATGCCACCTAGCTGGAGAATGCCTTCATTTTAGCTAAGACAGATGGAGAAAAGTTCATTTGCAGCTGAGAACTAGTGGGCTTGTGTCGTTTTCTGTCAACAGCTAATTCAGTATCTGAGCCATGTGATGAAGTGCCTGAGACCCAGGGTGACCAACAAGTTCAGTCAGTTCAGTGCTAATATCTACTGTCCAGTTCTGTCCTCCAAGGGATTAAGGATCGAGTTTCTCTGTGTTATCTGCTACAAAATTAGACAGCATTAAGCTTGAATTTTGGGAAAAAAAATAGGATCTTTACAAATTTTCTAAGTATCTGTTGCTGTATAATATGTAGTTCATCATTTGGTGAAAGGATAAGTGGAACTTGGTGTTGTTAACAGCTGTGATTTGTTACATCTTTTTTCTGCAGCAGCTAAATACCCTTTTTGGTACTGTCACTTTTTTAAAAAGTGTTTTCTAGGGTAGTGCATGTAGTGGATGAAGCCACTGCGTAGGATGTCCATACCTCCTGTTATTGTGCCTGGTTTGAGTCTCAGCTGCCCCATGCTTCCACTGCTACTTCCTGTGAATTTGACTGGGTGGCAGTGGGTGATGGCTCAAGAAAGTGGGTCCCTGCGACCCATTTGAAAGGTCTGGATTGAGTTCCAGGCCTCATGGAACTGAAGCTGTCACGGTCATTTGGGGAGTGAATAAGTGGATGGAAATTCTCTGTTTCTGTGTGTGTGTGTGTGTGTGTGTGTGTAATTTTGAAAATAGTTTTAGAGAAAAATGGCAAAGATAAAGGCAAGATTACCATATGCACTTCCTGGCTTTCATACGTAATTATTAACTCAGATCTCTACTTTATTCAGATTTCTGCGGTCCTTTTTCTGCCTCAGGACCCCATGCAGAATGCCACGTTCCACCTGGATGTCACAGTTCTTCCTAATCTCCTCTTTGTCTGGCTTGCCTTGTTTCTGACGAGCAGTTTAGAGAGGTGCTGGCCCACCGTTGTGATTTGTCTGCTGTTTTTTCTTATTATTCAGCTGGAGTTATGGGGCTGGGAAAGGAGGAACAGGGGAGATACAGTGTCATTTCCAGGAGGTCCTATAAAAGAAAGGTACTCGCAGTCAGGCTGCTCCACCTGGTGTGCTGGCCTCCCCCTGCCCAGGTGATGTTTGTCTCTCCCTCTTCTTCCACCTGCAGGAAGTCACTGTGTTTAACCCACACTCAGGGAATGAGAATCTATAAGTCAAAGTCTGCTTGGGATTATTTCAATACCGAATATAAGTATCAGTTACGCTTCCTGGGGAAATCAGTTCTAACAGCGTCTGTAAAGTTTGCAATACAAATTTACAGCTAATCTGAGTTCATCATGAAAGAGCACCCTGCTGCTCCCTGGCAGAACACAAATCCCAACACAGTATTCCCACTTCTTCCTGCTATCCATTTCATTCATCCATAATCTGTAATTACCCAAACCTTTTATTAGTATTAATGAGCAACAAGTAGCTCCTCCTTTCTTTATATTCAGATTTTTGACCTGCTGTAATTTTTTTCTTCCTGAAAAAGTTTTACTACTTCTTGCAAAGCAGCTCTGCTGACACTAAATTCTGTTTTTGTTTTTTTGAGAAAGTCTTTATTTTTCATACATTTTTGAAGAATAATTTCACTGGGTAAAGAATTTGACTAATGACATTTTTTGTTGTTGTTGCTGTTTCAGCACCTGAAATACTTTGCTTTTCTATATTCTTGTTTACATAGTTTCTTATGAGAAAATCCTATCCTTGTTTCTCTGTAAGTTTTCTCTGTCTTCTTTCATGATTTCTCCTTGACTTTGGTTTCCTATACTTGGAGTGTGACACCCAGTGAGCCAGGAGAAAAGTGTATTCTCTTCTTCTTTCTCCTTGAAAATCTCAGCCTCACTTCCACAATGCTGAAGTGTTAGAGTACTCCTAGCCCCCTGCCCAGGTTCTCAGGGTGAAAACAACTCACTGCACGGTGGAAGAACTGTCACAGTATGCCAAGAGCATGTGAGATGGGAGATAGCACTGGTGCAGGCATTGTAGGAACGGCCAGTCTTCCTCATCTTAACAATGTA